CACACACACACACACACACACACACACACACACACACACACACACACGTCCTTTTGCAGCACTTTCCAAGTGGATAACTTCTACCACCTAGAAGGGCAGGGTCTGTAGGTGCATGGGAACACAACCACCTGCTAGCTCCTCTCCAAGCCACACACCATCTTAACTGGAAATGTATCACTATTCCTTCGTTGTCACTGGGTTAATATCCTGGAACTCCATTTTGGCCAGCAGTGACAATGTGTTTGCAAGGCTTGTACTGTAGCAGTTCTCAAGGAAAATTTGGCTTGGGCCAAAAATGCTGGCCTAGCTGGTGAAACCCACGTCCCATGAACAAATAATAATAATAAAAAAATCTCACTCATGTCTCACACACGCTCTCCATGTCTTCACATCCCTCCATACTCACTCAACTAGCAGCCACCATGGACAGAACTCAAAGCTATTACTAAAACTCAAAATTATCATGAGATGCAAAAGAACGTGCGTTTACACACCACTTGTAATTGCTCCGCTGAGGAACTCTCAAAACTGTAAAACACACAGTCATTGATATTATCTTTTGAAAAATCATTCTTTTTCCACTCCATGTGCTAATCTGTAAAAATACACAAATAGCCTTTCCAAAACCTTTTTAGGACATATTAATCCAGCAAAGGAATGAATAGTCAGGAGCAGAAGTAGGCCACTTATCCCCTTATGCCTGCTGTCATTTAATAATGTCATGGCTGATTAGATTTTAACCTCAAATCTGCATTCCCACCTACCCCAGCTAACCATTCGCTCTTCTTTTATAACAAATATTTATCCATCTCTGCCTGACAAATATTAAAGGACTCTTGTTCCCACCACTTTTTCAATTCCAAAGACTCATGACTATCTCCAAGCAAAACTCCACTCTTCCTCATACTGAATGTAAAATTCAATAATGTTGTGGTCGCTGCCACTTAGAAGTACCTTCACTATGCAATCATTAACTAATCCTGTCTCATTATACAATAGCAGGTCTAGTATAGTTTGCTCCAGAACATGCTGTTCAAAGAAACTAACCATGAGACCTTTCACAAACTCCTCATGTGGGATCCTTCTGTCTGTCTGACTTTTTTAGCCTATATGTTGAGTAAAATTTTCCATGAGTATCAGTATGCCTTTCTTATTATATCTATTGTTTGGCTCCATTCTATTTAAATGGCTACTAAAGGGGGGTTGCCTTTATCTTTTCTCATTCCTACCCATTTCTCATTTCTTGTCATTCCTAAATGACCCGTACACATCATGCTTTAGGTCCCAATCCCATGTGCCCGTAGCCATGTGCCTGTAATTGCTGCTAGATCGTACTTCTTCATTTGCTATCTCAATGCATTTGTTTTGCATTTGAGTGTTCTGTCCATTCAGATACAGCTCCTTTAGTTTTGCCCTTTTACTCTTTTTGTAAAGTTTAGCTTTATCTGTTGGACGACTCTGAGATTTGTACCCTTTATCCTTCTGTCCCAGCCTGTTTATCATTTCGCATATTAAAACCTTTCTCTTTGGCCTTGACTCTACATCTTACACTGTTACTTGGTTTAAAATTCTTGCTACTTCTCTAGTTATGCGATTATTAAAAACACTGGCCCTAGCACAGCTTTGGCAGGCTATCCCATTGGTACAGACTCCACTTTCTCCAGTACTGGTATCAATGCATCACAAACTGGAACCCACTTCCCTCACACCAATCTTTGAGCATTCACCTGTCTATCTTATTTACCCTATGTCAATTTGCACATAGCTATGGGAATTTAATAATGCAGGAATTATGATCTCTGAGGTTCTGCTTCTTAATTTGGCACTTACCACCTCTTACTGACTGTGCCAATATCACTCTTTATCCTGCCCAAGCTGTTGGTACCTACATGGACCAAGTTGATTGAGTCCTAAAACTTTCACTGGAAGTTGTTCTCCAGCCCTCAGTAGATACTGAAGCAGGGCACGAAGCAGATAATACAGCCATATGGACTAAGGCTCTGTGTTTCAGATAATGGTATCAACTATTGTGACCTCTCCTAACATCTGTTGGATAACTACAAACTCTCTGGGTCTCCTTACCATCTCACTCCACAGTTACAGTCTCCTGTCTCTGAACATTGACAAAATAAGATAATTCAATGCTGAGGGGCATGACTGTCTCCTGATATGAAAAATCCAGGTAGCTTTTCCCTTTCCTGAAATATGGCAGTGTCAGTTGTTCAACCTACAGCTCTTAAACCCTGAGCCAAAGCCCCCTAAACTTCAAACTCTGGCCACAGACATGTTTCCACTGGAACAAACTGGAATCCACAAACTCCCATGATGCAACAGTGATACATTACCTGTCTCACCAGTATTAATGCATTTTAATGAATTATATAATTCATTTACCTTTCCTGTTTATTAACTTTTGCCACCAATTTGTGTTCTAGGCCAATTTTAAGATTAGCAAAGATGTTAATAATTTAGGAGAGACTCACCAATCAGCTAATCCCTTTCTCTATAGAAGAGAAAAGATGAGTCAGTCAGCTTCAACAAGTTTACCTCTGCATCTGACACCTGTCCCTGGTCCTTATTTTGTCTGCTCCTCTACCTGCTGCTGACTCCTACTATAGGGTGCTCACCTTGTCCGCTTTTCTTACTAACTACTCATAAAACTGACAAACAGTGTTCCCTGTCCCTTTTTACAACGTGTGAACATCCCCTGCTGCACTAAGTTCAAGGGTGCCCAAAATACACCAATTCAGGCACACATCAGCTAATCTGAGAGTATACTCAACTGGCACGAGCCAACCCAGCCCCTCACTATTCTCTCTTTTCACCACCCCACCCAAAAGCAGGCTCATGTGTACACACAGACAGACAGACAGACACACACAAACACGTGTGCACTAGTCCTTTTTGCCTATTTCCATTTTTCACAAAACAAATGCTCACTTGGCAGGCAGCAAGCAACAAGGGAGAAGACAAGGCAGTTGAGGTTTAGGTAATATTATACTTAATACACATGGAGCAGAAGTTTAACAATTAAACCCTATTTTGAACACCATTGGGTCAGCTGTGGTTTAGTGCCAGCCCCTGAGCCAAGAGGATTTTGTATTCTAGTCTGTGATTTTTTTTTCATTTTATAATTCACTCATGGGATATAAGCATTTACTTCTCATCCTTCGTTGGCCTTCAGAAGGTGATGGTGAGTTGCCTTCTTGAACTGTTGCAGTTCACATGCTATTGGTAGACCCATAATGCAGTGAGACAGGGAATTCCAGGATTTTGATGCAGTGACACTGTAGGAACAGTGATGTATTTCCAAGTCAGCTGATCTGAGATACACCCATTTGATACACCAAATCTGAGATCTGGTCACCTAGTTCAAGCTGATATGGTCTTCCCTACCACCTCTTGGCTGATCATAGCATTGTCCCAAGACAGAACTTCCATGTTACCATTACCCCTGCTGCCCATCCCCAATTGTCTCCCACACATACGCCATCTGACCCTTTCTCTCTTTCTATCATTTTTCCAATTTTTAAATATTAATTAATGGGATGTGGGTATTGTTAGCTGGGCCAGCATTTCCTGTCCATCTGTGGTTACATTTGAGAAGGTGGTGGACTTCCTTGAACTGCTGCAATCCACAGAGTCTGATGGATGCCATCAGAGAGGGAGTTCAGCCAAACAGTCAAACAGTGATATTTTTCTCAGTCAGGACATGTGGTTTGGAACAGGATTTGCATTGGGTGGTATTCCCCAAATAAATGCTGCCCTTTCCCTTCTCAATGGTAGTGGTTGTGTGTTTCACTATTGCCATCTATTTCCCTTCCTCTCTGATGGTTCTAAATAATCTGCTGTCCAAAATAGGTGAAAAGGCAGGTTGCGAGAGGGATATAAACAGTTTACAGAGAGATATTAATAAATATGTGGGCAAAAAGTTGGCAAATGAAGTACAAGATCATAGATTCTGTACATGTAGGAAAATGTGACGATGTTCTTTTTGGATAGGAGAACGAAAGAATGGAATGTTATTTAACTGGAGAAAATCCGCAGAAAGCTGTAACACAAAGGGACTGCACGATATACAGAAAGCTAGCACACGGGTGCAGAAGGCCAATGGAATGTTGACGCTTATTTCAAAGGGTTGGGAATATAAGAGTAGGGAAGTCTTACTGCAATTGTACAAGGTGCTGGTGAGACCATATCTGGAGTACTGTGAGTAGTTTTGATCCCTTTCTTTCCGGAAAAATATTATTTAATTGGAGGTAGCCGAGAGAAATTTCACTAGGATGATCCCTGTTATGGAGGGATTGTCTTATGCACAAAGGTTAAACAGGTTGGGACTCTACTCACTGTAGTTTAGAACAATTAGAGGTGATCTCATTGAAATATATTGGATTCTTAAGGGGCTTGACAGGGTAAATGCTGACAGGATGTTTCCCCTCATGGGAGTGTCTACGACCAGAGGGCACAGTCTCAGAATAAAGGGACACCAAGTTAAAACTGTGATAAGGAGAAATTTCTTCTCTGTAGGTTGTAAATCTTTGGAACTCCTTGCCATAGAGAACTGTGGGGGCAGAGTCCTTATGCAAACTTAAGGCTGAGATATAGGTCCTTGATCAGTAGGGGAATTAAGGGTTATTGGGAAAGTGTAAGAAAGGGGACATAAGGAACGTCAGATCCGCCAAGATTCTGTTGAATGGTGAAGCAAACTTGAGGGGATGAATGGCTACTCCTGTTGCTAAGAGAGAGAAAAAGTGTCACCTATTATGTTTCTAAAGTAGTTATAGGTTGACATAGTAAACATATTGTATGTAATTGATGTGTTATTTCAAATTGTTTCACTCAATTTATTCACTTTATTTGGTTCCAGCATATGTGTAGGAGGCACTTGGAACTGTACAGAGAATGACTGTCCAGGTGAATGGTTATTTTTATTCTCTTCTGTGCATTTGCTATTTATCATTATGGGGGATGCTTTGGACTTGAATTGCACAGTGAGTAGACACAATATTGGGGATACAGCTGCACTGCCAAGTCAATGTGGCATTTAGGAGTCCTGAAACAGTTTTGGGTTTAATTTTAATTAACTTTTTCCAAGCAAGTTGCAATAGCAAATAAAGATTAAACTAAAGTAGTTGGCTAGCAGATGAGAATGCTCCTACTAGCTCTTGCTCCTCCTGGTTCAACATCTAGATTAAATTCAAAAGAAAACATACTTTGTAGGTTTCCCTTCAAGGCTTGTTGGTTGGGACGCTGCAGAACTTGAACAAGTAAGCTGAGTTTATAGCCATGACATTTCTGATGACTTTTCATACTTTTGAAAATATTTTTGGAAATAACCATAGCAGCCCATTTCAATATTAGCTACCTTTTAAAGAAAAAGCCAGATTAACAGTGGCACAGGTCCAGACTGAAATTATGATGGGCCTTACCGCTACTAAATTTGTCATTGATGCATCATTTATATGGTTGTAAAACAGGCAAACAATGTTGTATTCAGAGTCAAATCAATTTTTTTACTACACAAGCTCAGGAGATCTGGCAGCATCTGAGGAGAAAAAAATCAGAGTTAACATTTCGGGTCCGGTGACCCTTCCTCAGAACCGTTTCTCAGACCCTTCCACACTGGACCCAAAATGTTAACTCTGATTTTTTCTTCACAGATGCTGCCAGACCTGCTGAGCTTTTCCAGCAACTTTATTTTTGTTCCTGATTTACAGCATCCGCAGTTCTTTTGGTTTCAATTTTTTTTACTTATTTGTTAATAAATTATCATTTTGCTTGCCTTAATATCAGGGATGAGCAACGGGTAGATAAAAGGGATTTCCTCCGCAGCGACATCAGCAGCTTATGGTTGACTTAAATACGTAAAAGAACTTTTAGATACCAGAAATAGCCATTTGGCAAATAAGACCAATTTTTCTCAAAATGCCCACTCTTGGTTTGCATTCCTCAGTGACCGCAGTCTCCAGAAAAGTATTCATTTGTCCCTCAAATTCATTGCCACTGTACACATCAAGGGCCACTCCTAACCTGTTATGCATCTCTATTACTCTTTAACTGTATTAGCTATGCCCGACTTTCCTTTGTCATAAGTTATAATAAGTAAAAAAAAAGGCTTGTGTCCACTGATATTTCATTATTAGCAGCATTTTTTCTAACAAAGCAAAATGATTCCCATGTAAATTCATTTGTCTTTGCTCCACTCAAAGATAGGTTCACAGTCTGCCAAATTCACCCAACAGTTGAGTTAAAACCAGTTGCAGTGCATTGTGGAATAAAGTAGAGCAAATATCAAATGTGGTCACATAACTTACATGTAGATGGTACAAAATTCAAAGGCAGTCTCTGTGACCTAATAGAATTGTAGAATTCCTACTGTGTGGAAACAGGCTATTTGGCCTATTGAGTCCTCACCGACCCTCCAAAGAGCATCCCACCCAGACACATCCCCCTACCTATCCCCCCTGTAACTCTGCATTCCCCATGGCTAATCCACCTAGCCTGCACATCCTTGGATACAATGGGCAATGTAGGATGGCTAATCCACCTAGCCTGCACTTCCTTGGATACAATGGGCAATTTAGGATGGCTAATCCACCTAACTTGCACATCCTTGCATTGTGGGAGGAAACCCATGCAGGCACTAGGAGAATGTACAAACTCCACACAAACAGTCACTCAAGAGTAGAATTGAATCCAGGTCCTGGGTACTGTGAGGCAGCAGTGCTAACCACTGAGCCACCACACCATCCCATATTGGTTTCTAATTGATAATTGCTTATGGCCAAATTCACCATAAAAAAAAAGTCAATGCGATCAACTGTCATTTACCCTTGATTCAGAAAGTTCTGTAATTGCCAGCAAGCTGTCGATACATAGTAGGCATCTGCCTCAATGATTCAGAAAGTCCTGACTTGGGTTACTACATGTGAAGATTAAAGTGCTTGTATACTAATTTGATTTTGCTTAGTACTTTTTTCGTCTTGATTCTAGCGGAGTGCTCAGTAACAGGAGATATTCATTTCAAGACATTTGATGATCGGGTGTACGCCTTCCATGCTACGTGCCAGTATATTCTGGCGAAGAGTCGTAATTCAGGAAAGTTTACCATCAGTCTTCAAAATTCTCAGTGTGGAACAGTAAGAAACAAATTTTGTTTTTTTTTAAGATAAGACAGAAGGTTGTAAATAATAAGAATTTTGAACAAATCTGGAAATAAAATAGGATTGAAGGAAAATAAATGTATAGAGAAAATGGTTGGAAGAAAAGAAAGGATAGGAGCAGTGATTGGTGAATTTAAATCCAATGACTGAACTTGGCTGCACATCTCTTTTTCGATAAAAACCTTTCAACTTATCACTACTAAATGGCACAATAAAGGCCATTACATTACAGCTGAAAATAAGATTACAAATTTTCTCAACTTTCAACCACAAAGCTAATAATCTTCTGGTGCCATGGAGGTGATGAAAGCGATATTCGCCAAGACATGTAGATTTAAGAATCATGTGAAACTTTCAGACTCCTTGAGGGCAATAGCTTGGACAAGAAATTGAGTCAATGGATCCCTATCTGTGTCTGTTGAAATGTCGATGTCTTTGATGGTGTAGAAGATGAGAGCAGGCCCGGATGAAAGAAGTTTGCAAAGCAGCTGATGAAAGAGACAGCAGTTGATATGAAAACACTGGCCTGAAGAGGGATTATTGTAACATTGTCAAAGAGACAATTCAGTAAAACAGGGAATTATTGTTGCCTTGAATTTCACTTCTTTTCTGGTGTTTTTCACCATATGTTTTGAGCACTGCCTTGCACTTTGATTGCTGGCTCCAGTCAATGCTTAAGACCCAACCAAGGTTATAAATATTTTAAGAAGTAGTAAGAAATAAGCCATTTTCAAACTTGCATGTGTCTGAATATTCTGGTAGTTTTTTTTACATGTGGCCCTCTATACTCAGTGAAAATCTGTTGAACTATAGCGAGATATTTCCATATTATGAGACACAGATACAAAGTTCAGAAAACCGGCAATGTTAGCATTTACAAGAATAGGTCAAATAAACTCCCATAATATTTTCCATGTTAGCAGACAGGTTGTTTACTAGTGAACATATACTTAGAATTATGAATAGCTAAGATATGCATTTCCTTTTTAACCTTTTTCTGATGCTGAGAATGGTATTAGAACGTCCTGATACCAAGTCGTATTGCATTTCTGTCATCTAATTTCCAGGATAAATCCATTTATAGGGGCACTGATTTTTTTTATGGTTATTACATTTTTTTGATAGCTGAAGAGAGACCCATTGTCAAGATTTTGTCTTGTACTTAACAGAACAAATGCAAGAATGTCAAATTTCAAACAATCACAACAATTAATATTGCAGGAGAAAATCTGTGTGGATTGATTGGCTGGGATATTGCCACGGAGAAAACAATGGGGAACTACAGGCTCTGCATGCCTCCAGATAAATCAAAAATATGCAAGGATTGAACAGATTCTTGTTTGTAGAGATCAGGTCCCTGCATATAAGTATATGCCCCTTTTAACAGGCGTAAGTTAGGCTTATTAGAATTCAACTGATAATTTCAAATTGCTTAAATGTAGTTATTAGTGCACTCCGAATTGTTCAGGAAGTGTTTCCCATTCATGGAATGACATCTAACAATCTAAATGTTTTGTCTTGGATTCAGTAAGCCAAGTCTGGTGGAAACCAGTGTTCACTTGGTCTGATGTGAGCAGCTGAAGGAACATGTTTGATTAAAACAGCCAGTTGTGGGAATGTCTGGCCTGTATACCCGGTATCTCATTGCCAACAAAATCCATAAATTGCATGGTCAATTGTGTGGAAGGCAAAATGTCTTTTTGGATTAATGGCATCATCTCATTAGTGGAAAATATCGCTTGTGTCACTATTGCTTGGTAATGTGAAATGGCTCGCTTAACCTGTTGTTCACATTTTTAAGAATGAAGGTTTCTGTGCTGTATACCTGTCATACAGGTGTAACTGAATTTTTACATTAACTCTCTGCCCTATGCCTCTATCCCCACATTCCCTTTCTGTTCAAAAGTCTACAAATCGACTAAGCATGCATGGTATAATGGGCTAGTGCATTCCAAAGATTCACAGCCCTCTGAGATGAAGAAGTTTCTCCTCATCTCAAACCTAAAAAATGCTGGCTGTTTCTCCCTAGAATTGACCCCTTAGGTTCTAGATTTTACAGGTGTCTTATCACCTGTCCTGTGAAGTTTTCTAAAAATATTTATTAATTTCAAAGAGACCACTCATTATCTGTCTAAATGCCATGGAGTAAAGGTTGTCTCAGGAAATCAATTGAATGAACTACCTTTTCAGTTCCTTGCACTTTATTTTTGGTAAGGAGATTAAAACAACACACTGTTGACACACCAAAATCCCTATGAACTTCCCAAGACAACCTTACTGTTTTATTTAAACCACTTTGCAATCTTTTTTCCCCGCATCTTAGCACTAAGGATTTCACAAGCCTTTGTTTCAATAGCTGGTTATCTTAGCTGCCACCAACATGTTTGCTCGTACAAGTGACACTTTGGCCACATACTGATATCTAAATCTGTACAATTAGGGAGAGAGAGATTGTTCAAGGCTTTTTGAAAAAAAAATCCTGAACGTACAGCTTCTTTCATTTGTATCTTTGTGCCAAATGCAACTTACACAAGGTGATTCTCAGTTGGGTTTATGTCTGGATTCGTGATTAATTATATAGTTGTCCTTTGATTGGACAAATGAGTACCATGAATAAGTTTCACATGGCCCTTAAAATAGTGCAAACCAAATGGAAATATGTTTACATCTGAAGACATAAGAAATCATTTGCTAGTGTAGTATAATATATGAATTCAGCTCCATCTTATGGTCAAAATTTGTAACAGTTTACTGCAATTGTGATGAAGCAAATTCTACTTATTTAAATATAATAATAAAATGGACAAAAGTATGCAAATTAACCATTTTATTTTTAAAGATGTTTATTTTGATTCAAAAAGCATATCATGGTTGCAGATAGAAACAAAAGAGAAGTAAGTCATTTAAATACACCACAATTTTTTTCTAGCTATGGTAGCTCTGTTATATTAGTTCCAATTCTTTGAACTTTCTTGCATATTAAAAATATTTTATTGGTGATCGGACCCAGACCAGATTGTTAAGTATTAAACATGACGCTGACTGTTTTCTTTGTTAGTGGGTCCAATCACAGGGTGCAGCATTACTGGTGTCTCACTCCTGTCTAGTGAGGTTGTGTCCTTGTTGACTCTGTTTATTCTATTCTTGAGGTAGTCAAACAATAGTCATTTTGGGGCTGCTCCACTCCCTGTGGTGCCCACTGGGTAAGGAAGGCCTTAAACATACTGGAGGGCACCACATACTCCTCCTTCACGATTACCTGAGGACAGACATGACTGTGGTAGAGAGGCAGGCTGACAGTCTGATTGAACAACCCTCTCTGTATCCACTCTCCAGATCTGTTAATGGCCAACTTCTCCAAATCAGGAGCTGACTTATGTGATGTTCTCCAACTTAGCCAGGCCTCCTCTGTAATTGATGATTAAAGATCAGGAGGATGGGGTGGAGTACAAACAAAATTCAAGGAGCAGCTTCTTCAAATAATTGAAAATGGGTCTGCAATCCAGTACAGATGCTTCATAACCACAAATAAAACAGCTGACCTAGGTATCTGCAAGCCATTGGCTTGACCATAGGTGACAGAGGGTGTGGTAAAGGGTTGTTTATCGGACTGGAGACATGTAACCAGTGGTGTTCCACAGGGATCGGTGCTGGGTCCGCTGTTGTTGGTCATTTATATAAACAATTTGGCTGAGAACACAGAAAGCGTGGTTAGTAAGTTTGCGGGTGACACCAAAATTGTTGGTACGGTGGACAGTGAAGAAGGTTATCTATGAGTACAATGGAATCTTGATCAGCTGGGCCAAAAGGGCAAAGAGTGGTAGATGGAGTTTAATTTAGATAAATGCATGGTGTTGCATGTTGTTAAGACAAACCAGGGAAGGACTCACAAAGCTAATGGTTGGGCCTTGGGGAGTGTTGTACAACAGAGAGACTCAGAGGTTCAGGTACGTAGTTCCTGTAAGGTGGCATCACAGGTAGACAGGGTAGTAAAGAAGGTGTTTTGCACACTTGACTCCACTGGTTGGAGCATTGAGTATGGGATTTGGGACATCATGCTGGGGCTGTACATGGGGCATTGGTAAGGTCACTTTTCTATAAGAAGAATATTCTTAAATTGGAAAGGGTGCAGAAAAGATTTGCAAGGATGTTACTGGGACTGGAGAGTTTGAGTTATAAGGAGAGGCTGATTAGGCTAGGACTTCTTTCCCTGGAGAGTAGGATGTTGAAGGGTGACCTTTTAGGGGCTTATAAAATCATGAGGGGCATGGATAAGGTGAATAGCAAAGGTCTTTTTCCTAGAGGATGGCAATTCAAAACCAGAGAGCATAGGTTTAAGGTGAGAAGGCAAAGATTTAAAAGGGACCTGAGGGGCAACATTTTAACAGATGGTGGTGTGTATATGGAATGGGCTGTCAGAGGAAATGGTAGATGCAGGTTCAGTTACAACATTTAAAAGACATTTGTATAGGTACATGGATAGGAAAGGTTTGGAGGAATATGGGCCGAAAGGAGGCAAATGGGAGCAGTTTAGTTTGGGAAACCTGGTTGGCATGTATGAGTTGAACTGAAGGGTGTGTTTCTGTGCTGTATGACTCTTTGACTGTATAACCTCCTATTACATAAGATTGCTACATACAACACCCTCCATGTCAGATCCCCAATGGTAAAAGGGAGAACAGGTGAAAGGCCAACGTACAGTGCCCTCCATTTGGGTCGCCTGCCACCATTGGATGTCTGGACAGATGCAAAGGCATGCCTGGACAGTAAATCAGGGAAAGGAAGTGAAGGAAAAGCAGCAGCAGCCTAGGTAGGAAACTCCTCTGCACAGATTGAAATGGCACCGAGTGAATTTCTGAGAGTCAGCTCAGAGTGGAAAGAATGGGCTTCTGAGGGAGGTTTCTGACTCCCTTAATACTTGCTCGAAGGTATTTTTAATAAATCTATTCAAAAATGTTATGACATATCTCTGGATCAGGTGACACTTGAACTCCAGTTTTCTAGTCCAGAGGTAGGAATGCTATTGTTGTACCACAGGAACCTCTTGTTATGTGTTCTTAGCCCTTAACCATAGGAATAGGAGTAGGCCATTCAGTCCCTCGAGCCTGCCCTGTAATTCACTAAGATCATGCCTGATCTGTAGCCTAACTGCATGTGCCTGCCCTGGGTCCATATCCCTTGATAACTTTGCTTAATAAAAATTTGTCTGTCTCAGATTTAAATTTAACAATTGCATTGGTATCAACCACCATTTGAGGAACAGAGTTCGAAGCTTCCACTACTCTTTGTGTGTGGAAGTGCTTTCTAACATCTCTCCTGAATGGCCTGGTTCTAATACTTAGACTACTCACCTAGTTCTAGAATCTTCAACCGCTGGAAATAGTTTATCTTTATCTACCCAGTCTTTCCATGTTAATATCCTGAAGACTTTGATCAGATCACTTCCTTTGCCTTCTAAATTTTAGAATTTGCCCTAATTTGTCTCATCTCTGCTCATACCTGGGCTTCAGGGGTTAAGTTATCATGCTTGTAAGCCTGCGCTGAACTCCCTCCAGGGCCAGTATGTCCCAGATCTGCTCACAGTGATCAAAGTGGGATCCAACTAGGGTTTTGTATAATTGCAGCATAATCTCTGCATTGTTATATTTCAACCCTTTGGATATGAAGGCCAGCATTGCAATGTTCATCACCTGTGTTCCTTTAATGATGTAACCAACCAATCATTAACACATATCTCCGTTTTTAACATCTCAATTGACTTTACTTTATGGTATTTCATGGCAGCATATTACAAAATCTTATGATGCTTTGACTTAAAAAAATCCCTTTTCTTCAGTTTTAGATTGTTGAATAATTGCTGGAGATCTGTTTTAATTTTAGTGAAAATACAGCAAAAGCTTTGGACACTTTGTAAAATTGAAATTTCTGTTGATCTTTTGATAAAGTTACACTAGGTAATTGGGAACATGCTGAAGAAACCCCCAGTGTTGCCTTTGTCTGACTTTCCAAATTAATGAATTTATCGATTGATTGAAATCAAAACATTAAGTTGTAAACGTGAATGGAGCAAGCATATATTATGAAATTCTAAACTGTCTCTGTTGCTTCTTTTCTCAGGATCTAAATGGTGCCTGTATTCAGTCAGTGAGTCTAGTTATTGATGAAGATTTGAAGAAACAGGTGACTTTGACTCATTCAGGAGAGGTGTACCATTGTAATAAGTACAGGATCAGTTTGCCTTATAAAGATGGTATGAAGTACTAACCTCTTGCTACAATAACCTTTCTGAAGCTGCAAGTGTGTCTTTCTCTTTCAAAGTGCATATTGCTGCTCCTTAGTCTTTTCAAAATTCATACTCAGTAATCTATAAATTTGCTTACCTGCTATACTTGATAATTTGTAACAATTAGCCAGAGTCACATTCACATAATCATGGATGTTTAAAGTTAGTACTTGGCTTTTCATCAGCTTTTACTTACAGCTAGCAGTGATCTCTAAATATTAAAATATTAACCAAAATGAGCAATTGTCTAGCATATGGTATTATCTTGGCTTGGTGGAGATTCTTTCCTTTTAACCTTCTCATAAAAAGCTGATGTTCATTTTTAGATTTTTAGATAATTGAGATGGTGTGAACACTGAATTTTTTTTCAAACAGTTTCCATTTGGATGATTAGTACAGTCCAACTGAAGATCAACCTGTGTCCATCTGCTTCATGTTAGAGTTTAGTATATAGTAAGAACTCCTTGATTGGTTCCTGGGCAAGTGGCTGTAGCTTTGTGTATGGATAAGCATCCAGCTTGTGAGAGACAGAATGCAGCTAAATCCTTCTCTGTCTCTCACACTGTCTCTGTCTTTCTCACGGTGTCTCTGTCTGTCCTATACTGTCTCTGTAAAAATCCTTCTTGAAAGAAAAATGGGGAGGCATGGAAATACCATCAGAGAAACTGAAAGAGCGAACCCACAACTAAGGAATGAAAAATTGAGAATTAAAATGTCCACAATCTCATATCCTCATTGAGTCAAAAGGTATCGGAAGAAACTGAAGGAAAGCACTCTCCTGTAAACCAGACTGGTGCCAGAACTGTGCTTTGCTTACATTTTTGTTCCTTCCCCGCCCATAATATTGTGTCTAGAATGTGTTTTTTTTTAATCTAGAGTAGAAATTATACTTGAACTGTGCAAAGCCCTCATTAGACCACACCTCAATTGCACGTAGTTATAGGCACCACACTTTGGGAAAGACATATTGGCCAGGAGTGTAGGTTAGCTGCACTCCATGGAAAAATGAAATAAACTACTGTCATATGCCATGGAAGTTTGGAACTGTCTTCCACAAAACAATGAAGTTAATTATTAATTTTAAAACTGGAATTGATCACTTATTATCCAAAGATGTTAAGGGGTATGGGTGGGTCTATGGAGTTAGTTTACAGGTCAGGCCTAATCTCTTCGTGTAGCCCTGGAACAAGCTTGATAGCTTGAATGTCAGTTTGTTGTGAAGTCACCTTGTTGGTATTTCCCTGCCTCATTTTTTAAAATTACAAACTTATCTAAGGATGAGTTAGCTATGATACTTCTGATTATTCATGAAAAGGTAAATTCTACTTGTATAAAGAACCATATTTAACATAATTGCTGCTGCATTCTAGCTAAAAGACTTGGTGAAAAGTAGCTTGCCAGAGCAAACAGTTTGGCATCAACCTGCTCAAACAGCAGTTTCACACCATAATCTCAATGGTACATTTTCTTGTTCTTTAACAGATTTGTTTGAAGTCACTGAGCTCAGCTCCATGTTTATGCAAATTAAGACTGACTTTGGACTGCGGTTGCAATATGATAGAGAAGGGCGGCGGCTCTATATCCAGGCAGATACAAGATGGAAAGAGGACACCATTGGTCTCTGTGGAACATTCAATGGCAATATCCAGGATGATTTCTTGTGAGCATTTGTCATGCTTTGAGGCTAATTGAGTTTGATTAGAACTTAATGTCCGATTACAATCTGGCTACAAAGAATAATAGTCATAATTAGATTTTTTTTGCATCTAAACCTTTGTGTTTCTTTTCGACAAGGATTAATTTTTAACACTACTGTTGGTGAGTTGTGGGGTTTTATTTCATATCTATATCTGGAGTTTGGCAGAAATTTCAACCTTTACCTGCCAATTAAATGACAAGCTTTCATTTTTGCTTCTCCAGATGTTCACAAAGTATTCAAAGAATGGTTCAAATTAACAGTTTATTTTAATGCGTTACTGCACAAAATAAATGAAAAGTTATCATTCTAAAAGTATTAATATTTAATCAGAGCTAGGTACTGAAAATCTAAATTAAATTATCCTGAACCAAAGTAAATTATATGAACTGCAAGAAATTCCAGAATTTTCAAAACATTGTTTTAAAATTTGTGTGCAGTTGTTCAGCAAATAGTTCAATTTGGTTTAAATGCTAAATTGTATTTTACCTACAGTGTGAAATCATTTTCATTGTTCAGTGGATCACTCTTTGGTAGACCAAACTGGTCATAGTGGGGTTAGTTTGTGTGGAGCTATGTCCATGTTACCAAGTCACCAAGTTACTGAGAGGCCTAGCTCACGGACAGTTGCTTGCAGCCAGCAGGTTGCAATCAAAAAATTGGAAATATCCGAATATCCTGTGACTTTGAGCTGTGATAATATTAGGCAAACTGTCCATTTCTGGTTTTGGGGGTGGTGGAAGGTGATGATGAAATGTTGTGTTCTAATCTGTGAACTGGAATGTGTAAACTGCGGCTTGAGTGTTTCATGCTGGATTTCTACAGTCTGAAGGAGCACTCCTGCTTCTCGCGGCTAACTCAGAATTCAAGGGAAGCTCATCTCTGGTGTTAGAGTCATAAAGATATACAACTTGGAAATAGATCCTTTGGTCCAATTCGTCCATGCTGACCAGATATCCTATATAAATCTAATCCCCTTTGCCAGCATTTGGCCCATTTCCCTCTAAACCCTTTCTATTCATATACCCACCCAGATGCTTTTTCAATTTTGTAATTGTATCAGACTGCACCACTTCCTCTGGCAGCTCAATCCGTACATGCACCACCCTCTGTGTGAAAATGTTGCCTCTTAGGTCCCTTTTATATCTTTCCCCACTCACCTTAAACCTATGCTGTCCAGTTTTGGACTTGCCCGCCAGGGAAAAGACCTTGTCTGTTTACCCTATCCATGCCCCTCATGATTTTATAAACCTCTAAGTTCTTTTTGAACCTGGGCCACCACTTGATGCTAGTTAGAGCCGACATATCACTGCCATATCCAAACATACTTGTACATCATAGGAACCTGATCAGCATTTGAAATTTGCCTGTCATCTCAATGCCAAAAGAAAAAAGTAATAATTCCAATCAGTAGCTAATAACAATATGCAGATGGAGATTTAAGGCTTTATAAATTCAACAACTTTGTTTAAGGTGAAATCATTCCTGCCCTTACCATGTAACTCTTGATCTGATTAAAAATCAGGGACAGAAATATAATCTAGGTTGTACTTCAATGTAGTGATGAGGGAGTGTGACATTTTAGAGTTTTTTAGATTTTAGATTTTAAACAGCCCCACCTGAGGTGGATGTAAAAGTTCTCGTGACACTATTGAAGCTGTGAGTTCTCCTGGTGTTGTGTTAGCCAACAAAACTCTGCTACTGTGTAGAGAAAAGCTACCTGGTGATCATTTCTTATTAACTATAGGGTGGCTACCTGACATAGACAAATTTCCATTATAAATATAGACATGGGTTTACATTGAAAAGTGTTAGAAAAGACTGGCATGAGAAACCAGATTATAACGATTTTGTGGAAATGTAAGAATTATAATGCATTATCAAAAATACATTGTTGCATTGAAAAGCCTAGTTCATTTGTTAAAGAATTGACGTGAGAAAATATTCTTTATTTCTCAATTGATACCAACAGAGAAGTGAACTTCAGTCTGTGAACTCAAAGAATTAAGATGACCAATAATTCAGGCACTACTAAAAAAGAATCGCAAAGGGATAGGGCCTCAAAAAAAAAATTGGACTTCAGTCCTTAACATTACCTGGAACATAGTGAAGTTCTCACAGGGGATAGATTCTTGTAGGACAAGGGAATCAAAGGTTATCAGTGGAAGATGGGAATGTACAATTTAAAATGCAAACAGATCAGCTATAATGTTATTGAATGGCAAAATGGTTTCAAAGGGCTTCTAATTTGTATGTTTCATATGCATCTCAAATATTTCTGTAACCATTAACTGTTATTCTGTATAATTATTATGCAAAAAGGCCATCATTAATTTATATTCCGAGCAAGTTTTTCATTACATTTATTTTAATTCTTCTTCCAAGTCTCACACCATTGTACAGCAGCTTAAACCAAGAAAGATGCAGGCACACTGATAGGCCTCTGCCAATGTTGTGTTTTAGTCTATTCTGAGGTAGTGAATAAGAAAACCTGCCGAGAGGTTACTTGCTATTTGATTTTTTTCTCTCTTTGGATTTATTTTTCACTGTGTTAAGTTCTTAATGCTTACTCACAATGACACGGACAGTGTGGGACATGCGGTCAATGTAAAATATGATCAGTATGATCCTGGAAATCATATTTGGTATTTTATGTTAGCATGTTTTAGTATTTAATTATCTTTGCAGGATTATGTAACATGCATGATTCTATTGTATATTAAGAAAACCAATGGATATTAATTTGTTTTTAGCCAATGGTGGAAAATAGGTGATAAATTGGAAGCTCATTTTGTGTGTTACCAATACTTCCATTCATTGACTTTGTTCATAATCTTCTCCCTTTCTGCTTACCATTTGTAAAGATCTCCAGGGGGAATGATTGAAAGCACACCACAGTTGTTTGCCAATTCTTGGAGAATCTCCACAGCTTGCAACCCAGGTGCCAACATTCCTGAGGTAGATCCATGTGACATGCATCAGCAATCTGGTGAGTCTTGGAAAAAGCATGATCAGTTGTTAATATTCTTGGAAATATTCCAGTCTGTGTTTGTATTTTTTTGGTGATTTAAATTTTTTTAAATGAAAAACAGTAAGTTGGTATATTTGGGATATCAATATCACATGGATTTTATGTTGTCATGACCATATGAGGAGACATGAATTGGCTGTTCTGTTTTTAACCCCCTTAGTCAGCCACAACAAAAATTTCATATTATTTCTAGCCTGTAGCTATAACTCACTTCAGTTGAAATCTTTTTTTAAATTCATTTGTGGGATGTGGGTATCATTGGCTGGCCAGCATTTCTTGCCCTTCCCTACTTGCCCTTCAGAAGGTGGTGGTGAGCTGCCTTCTTGAACCGCTGCAGTCCACTTACTGTGGGTTGTGCTATTGGGAAGGGAATTCCAGGATTTTGACCCAGCAACAGTGAAGGAACGGAGGTATATTTCCAAGTCAGGATGGTGAGTGGCTTGGAGGGGAACTTGAAGCTGGTGGAGTTCCTTGTGTCTGCTGCCCTTGTCCTTCGAGATGGACCTGCTCGTGGGTTTGGGAGGTGCTGTCTGAGGATCTTTGGTGAATTTCTGCAGTGCATCTTGTAGATAGTACACACTGCTGCTACTGAGCGTCGGTGGTGGAGGGAGTGGATGTTTGTGAATGTAGTGCCAGTCAAGCGGGCTGCTTTATCCTGGATGATGTCAAGCTTCTTGAGTGTTGTTGGGGCTACACTCATCCAGGCAAGTGTGGAGTGTTCCATTGCACTTCTGACATGTGCCTTGTAGATGGCGGACAGGCTTTGGGGAGTCAGGAGGTAAGTTACTCGCCACAGTATTCCTAGCCTCTGACCCTGCTGTTGTAGCCACTGTGTTTGTGTCATTATGTCTCTGATTTTTGTCATTTATATAAATGATTTGGATGTGAGTATAAGAGGAATGGTTAGTAAGTTTGCAGATGACCCCAAATTGGGTGGTGTTGTGGAGTGTGAAGAGGATTATCTCGGGGTACCATGTGACGTAGATCAGATGGGCCGATGGGCTGAGGAGTGGCAGATGGAGTTTAATTTAGATAAATATGAGTTGTGCATTTTGTTGAGGCAAATCTGGACAAGACTTATACACAATGATAGGGTGCTGGGGAATGTTGCTGAGCAAAGAGACCTTGGGGTGCAGGTTCATAATTGCTCGAAGGTGGAGTCACAGGTAGACAGGGCAGTGAAGAATGTGTTTGGTACACTTGCCTTTACTGGTCAGTGCATTGAGTATAGGAGTTAGGAGGTCCTGCTGCAGCTGCACAGGACATTGATTAGGCTACTTTCAGAATTTTGCACTCAATTCTGGTCTCCCTCCTAAAGGACAAATGTTGTTAAACTTGAAATGGTACAGAAAAAATTTACAAGGATATTTGCCAGGGCTGGAGGGTTTGAGCTATAGGGAGAGGCTGAATAGGCTGGGGCTTTTTTACCTGGAGTGTCGGAGGCTGATAGTTGAACTTATAGAGGTTTCTAGAATCATGAGGGGCATGGATAGTTAAATAGACAAGGTCTTCTTCCGAGGCTGGGGGAGTTGAAAACTAGAGGGCAGAGGTTTAAGGTGGGAGGAGAAAGATATAAAAGGGATCTAAGGGGCAACTTTTTTATGCATAGGGTGGAATGTATGTATGGAATGAGCTGCCAGAGGAAGTGATGGGTGCTGATACAATTTCAACGTTTAAAAGGCATCTGGATGGGTGCCTGAATAGGAGGAGTAGGAAAGCTGCTGTTTTGGGTCTGGATCCTTCTGAAGAAGGGTCCAGATCCAAAACATCAGCTTTCCTACTCCTCTGATGGTGCTTGGCCTGCGTGTTCATCCAGCTCGACACTTGTTATCTCAGACTCCAGCATCGGCAGTTCCTACTATCCCTGGGTGCATGAATAGAAGGGTTTAGAGGGATAAAGGCCAAATGCTGGCAAATTAAATTAATGCTGGCAAATCTGGTTGGCATGGACAGGTTGGACCGTGCTGTACAACTCTATGAAACTATGACTCTATGTGGTGAGTCCTGTTGAGTTTTTGGTCAATGATAACCCGCAGGATATTGGTAGTGGGGGTTTCATGATAGTAACACCATTGAATGTCAATGGGTTGTGGTTAGGTTCTCTGTTATTGGTGGTGGTCATAGCCTGGCATTTGTGTGACATGAATGTTAATTGCCACTTGTTAGCTCAAGCCTGGATATTGTCCACATCTTGTTGCTTTTGAACATGGACTGCTTCAGTACCTAAGGAACCACAAATGGTGCTGAATATTGTGCAATCATCCTCCTTATGATGGAGGGAAGGTCATTGATGAAGCAATTGAAGATGGTTGGTCCTAGGATATTACCCTGAGGAACTCCTGCAGAGATGTCCTGGAGCTGAGATGACTGACCTCTAACAATCATGACCATCTTCTTTTGTGCTAGATATGACTCCAGCCAGCGGAGAATTTGTCCTCAGTTTTGATTGATTCCAGTTTTGCCAGGGCTCCTTGATGCCACACTCGGCACACAAGGCAGCCTTGATATCAAGGGCTGTTACTCTCACCTCATCTCTAGAATTCAGCTCTTTTGTCTATGTTTGAACCAAGGCTGTAATGAGGTCAGGAGCAGGTGCTGTTTGATAGCATTGTTCATGACACCTTCCATCACTTTATTAATGATAGAGAGTAGACTGATGGGGCAGTAATTGGATGGGTTGGATTTGTCCTGTTTTTTATGTACAGGACATACTTGGGCAATTTTCGACATTGTCAGGTAGATGCCAGTGTTGTGACTGTACTGGAACAGCTTGTCTCGGGGAGTGGCAAGTTCTGGAGCACAAGTCTTCAGTACTATTGCCAGAATGTTGTCAGAGTCCATAGCCTTTGCTATATCCAGTGTCTCCAACCATTTATTGGTATCACGTAGTGCGAATCGAATTGTCTGAAGACTGGTATCTGTATTGTTGGGGACCACTGGAGGAGGCCGAGATGGATCATCCACTCGGCACTTCCGGCTGAAGATTGCTGCACAAGCTACCTTTTGCACTGATGTGCTGGGCTCTTCCATCATTGAGGATGGGGATATTTATGGAACCTCCTTCTCCAGTGAGTTGTTTAATTGTCCACCACCATTCATAACTGAACGTGGCAGAACTGCAGAACTTGGATCTGATCCATTGGTTGTGGGATCACTTAACTCTGTCTACCACTTGCTGCTTTCACTATTTGGCGTGCAAGTAGTCTTATTTGGTGGCTTCACCAGGTTGATACCTCATCTTCAGGTATGCCTGGTGCTGCTCCTGGCATACCCTCCTGCACTCTCCATGGAACCAGGGTTGATCCCCTGGCATGATGGTAATGGTTGAGTGGGAGATATGCCAGGCCATGAGGTTACAGATTGTGCTGGAGTACATTCTACTGCTGTTGATGATCCACAGTGCCTCATGGATGCCCATTCTTGAGTCGCTAGATTTATTTGAAGTCTGTCACATTTAGCGCGGTGATAGTGCCACATAACACGATGGAGGTTATTCTCAATGTGAAAGTGGGACTTCATCTCGACAAGGACTGTGCGATGGTCACTCTTACTGATACTGTCATGCACAGATGCATCTACAGCTGGCAGATTGATAAGGATGAGGTCAAGTATGTTTTTTCCTCTTGTTTGTTCCCTCACGACCTGCCGCAGACCCAGTCGAGCAGCTATGTCCTTTCGGACCCGACCAGCTCAATAAGTACTACTGCTGTCAAACCACTCCTGGTAGGGGTCATTGAAATCCCCCATCCAGAGTACATTTTGTGCCCTTGCCATCCTTCGTGCTTCTTCTCAGTGTTATTCAACATGGAGGAATACTGATTCATATCTGAGGGAGGATGGTATACAATAACCTGTGGGACGTTTCCTTGTCCATGTTTAACCTGAAGCCACGAGACTTCAGGGGGTCCAGAGTCAATGCTGAGGACTCCCAGGGCAACTCCCTCCCAACTTAATACCACTGTTCAAGGTTTTAGCAAAGATTTGTAGCTTGGGTTATGGGTGAGTTTGTTGACTTGCTGGCTGAGCTGGCTTGTTTTCGTTCAGACGTTTCGTCACTATGCTAGGTAATATGATCAATGAGGCCTACGATGAAGAGATGTTGTTCTACTCCGCTTGGAATTTATACAGTTTGGTCCATTATGGTGAGTTGTGCCATTTCAGGTTTTGTTCTGTATGGGTTTGTATATGCGGTCCAATTCTATATGTTTGTTGAACGCATTATGGGTGGAGAACCATGCCTCTAGGAATTCCCGTGCGTATCTATGTTTGGCTTGGGCTACTATGGTTATATTGTCCCAGTTAAACTAATGGTCTTCATTGTCTGGATCCACAGTTTAGGTTAAATGCAGGGGTGGGTAGTGTGTTCGAGTCTCTGCAGGACTGCCTGTGCAATGAGTCCTGAGATGGGTGACCCCATGGGTGTGCCATTGATCTGTTTGTATACTTGACCATTAAAGATGAAGTGTGTGGTGTGTGCGTGGATGACCCATTTGTCATTATTAAATGCAACAGATTGGAAGAGACTCACCACCTCATCAACAGTGAATTTGCTGGGATTAAATTCACGAGAGAAGAAGAAAACAACAATCAGCTTCTGTTTCTGGACGTCAGAGTTGAACGTGTGAGCAACGGGGAATTCCAAACCTTGGTATACAGGAAAGCAACCCACACTGACCAAATCCTCAACTTCCACAGCAACCACCCCAATGTCCACAAACAAAGCTGCGTTAGGACACTATTTAAACAGGCCACCACTCCCTGCAACACGCCAGAACTACACAGGAAAGAGGAAGAGCACCTATACAAAATCTTCGCTATGATCGGATATCCCCGCAACTTTATCCGTAGGTGCCCACTAAATAAACAACAACAAGAAGACACAGTATGCCCTAACACACTGGCCACACTGCCCTACATCAGGAACATGTCAGAACTGACAACGAGACTCCTAAGACCACTAGGAATCATGATGGCACACAAGCCCACAGCCACTCTATGACAAACACTCACAAGGATTAAAGACCCCATTCCCACAACATGCAGGACCAACGTGGTTTACAAAATACCACGCAACGACTGCCACAAACATTACATCGGGTGGACAGGAAGGAAACTAGCCATCAGAATAAACGACCATCAGCTAGCAGCAAAACAACATGACAAACCTTCCCTAATATCAGTACACTCGGACAGTGAAGGCCATCAGTTTAACTGGGACAACGTAACCATAGTAACCCAAACCAAACATAGACACGCACGGGAATTTCTAGAGGCATGCTTCTCAACTCATAATGCAATCAACAAACATATAGAATTGGACCACATATACAAACCCATACAGAATAAAAATGGAAATGACTTTACTCACCATAATCGACCGGACAGTATAAATTCCAAGCAGTGTAGAACAACATCTCTTCACTGGAGGCCTCACTGATGATGTTACCTAGCATGGTGACAAAATGTCTGAACCCTAAATCTAACCCTAACCCTAACCCCTATCGCAGCCAGTTTGGTGAGCAAGTCAACAACCTTGATACCACTGTGTCGCCACCTACCCTTAATAGCTCTGCTGTGTCTGCACTGCTGATGGGACAGGACGTATCCAGGGATAATGATGGTGGTATCTGGGATGTTGTCTGTAAGTTTTGAATCCATGAGAATGACTATGTCAGGCTGTTGCTCAACTAGACTGTGAGACAGCTCTTTCAGCTTTGGCACTCACCCACAGATGTTCTCAGGAAGGACTTTACAGGGTCAACAGGGTTGTTTCTGCCATAGTCTTTTCTGGTGCCTTGGTCAATGCCAGTGATTCATCTGATTTTATTTCATTGAGACTTTGTAGCAATTGTTACAACTAAATAACCTGCTAGGCCATTTTGGAGGGCAACTGAGAGTCAACCTCATTGCTGTGGGCTGTATAGCCCAGACCATGTGAGAGTGGCAGATTTCCTTCCCTGAAGGACATTAGTGAATCAGATGGGTTTTTCCAACACTCAACAATGGTTTCATGGTCATGAGTAGATTCTTAGTTCCAAATATTTTTAAAATTGAATTCAAATTCTACCATCTGCCATGGTAGGATTTGAACCCAGGTGCCCAGAACATTAGCTGAGTTTCTGGATTAATAGTCTCACAATAATATCATCTCCTCCCCTTAATAGTTCACCTTAATAGCACTTTATAGTTCACCAGCATCAACTATAAGGAACCGGTTACAATGTTTTCTTTAGTGAAAAAAGAGGAATCGTGTTACTTACTAACACTGAGAAAATAATAAAGACACGACCTCAACCACACAAACAAAAACAAGTATAACATTTCAAAAAGACAATGCTGTCTAAGGCTAAAAAAATGCAGTTTAAAAGTCCTTCAAATTCTTGAGTTGCTTGATTTTAACCTGAGTCCATAGATGTTTAATTGATTTCTTGTACCATCAGCCACAGGAAATGTTGCAGATTTCTTTTCAAGGCACAAAGTGAAAACAGTGACTGAGAGTACTTTCCAATCTTCCTGGTGTAAATCTATTTTTCTGCCCGCTGTTGAGCCAAAGCAGCTGCTTGAAATGCCATTCATTTGTTTATTCATATTTCTGGTGTTATTGTTTTTCCCAGCTACATAATTTACAGGTAACCCTTCCATCCTAATTTCATTTCAATTTATCGGTAAAGATGGACAAGAAGAACAAATGTGAATTTCAAAGCCTTTTGATAAACATGTTTGGGGTGGCATGGTAGCTCAGTGGTTAGCACTGCTGCCTCACAGTGCCAGGGACCCATGTTTGATTCCAGCCTTGAGTGACCGTCTGTGTGGAGTTTGCATGTTCTTGCTGTGTCTGCATGGGTTTCCTCCCATAGTCCAAAGATGTGCAGGTTTTGTTGTATGGCCATGCTGAAATTGTCTGTAGTATTCTGGGATGTGCTAGGTGGATTAGCTATGATAAACATGATGGGGTAGGGGCTGGATGTGGGTGGGATGCTATTCAGTGGGTCAGTACGGTCTCAATGGGCTGAATGACCACTTCACATGCGATGGGGATTCTTTGATTCTTTGTTCATTTTGGCTCAGGCCTGTTCCTGTTTATGGATGGTTTCATAGGTTAGCTCAACCTGTGATTAGCTGATTGCTGCAGCCATTTTAAGTCAGGGCCTTTCTTGTCCCTTTTAAAAACCATTTTAGTCCACAAAGGTTTTGGGTATTAGAATCAGCTGACGGAAATCCAAAATTGATAGTATGAAAATATAGACCATCATAACAATGTAGAAAATATGTAATAAGTTGCTTATAATTAAGACATGTACAGAATGTACTCTGAATGGGGAATTTTAATGTTCATTATCGGAGTGACTCAGCATGCCACTACTGATTAAGCTTGAGTCTTAAGTGACACAACAGTTAGGCTCTCACAGTTAGGTCTTTGGCAGGTAGTGAGGGAGCACGCAAGGGAAAAACTTGCTTGACCTCTTCCTCACCAATCTATCTGTTGCAGATGTGTCCATCCATGACAGTATAAGTTGGAGTGACTACTGTACAAAGAATGTATAAATGAAGTCTTGTTTCCACACTGAGGATACCCCCCACCCCCAATCACGTTATGTGGCACTATCACTGTGCTAAATAGGAAAGACTTGGAACAGATCTGGCAATTCAAACTGGACATCCATGAGATGCAATAGAACTTTTCAATCATAATCTGTAACCTTGTGCCCCCACATCTCTCTCACTCTTCGAGGAGCAGCACCAAGGATACCTAAAATGAGGTGTCAACCCGGTGAAGCTACTTGCATGGAAAAACAATAAAAGGAGCATACAATAGTCAGGGCTAAGTGATCCCATAACCAGCACACTAGACCTAAGTATTGTAGTCTTGCCACATCTAGTTGTAAATAATGGAAAGATAAAAACTTAATAGGAGATGGAGACTCTACAAATATCCTCATGCTTAATGATAGTAGTTTCCCTACTGTCACTGGATCCAAATCCTTACCTTCCTTCCTGACATGACCGTGGTGCCCCAAACCCGAAGGACTGCAATGATTGAAGGCAGCACAGTTTGACTTCTCAAGAGAAATTGGGGATGGGAAGTAAAGGCCACTGATGCCCCTAGACATGAATACATAAGAAAAGCTCATCCATTTATCTATAACCCATTCACTGATATTCTAACACTGACCCTTATATTTACTAAATAGTGACCAGAACCATTAAAAAAATGCATTCTGTGCTATGTTTCTGACTCTGCACCACTCCAACGAGCTCCCTAAAGACACAGCAATTTTTTTTGAAAACTGTGGAACACCTTGGGAAAAAATGTATGCAACCATCCCTTGTCATTGCTACTGCTTTGAAGATTCAGGACAATATGTTTTCCCAGACATGAAAGTGATGGAGAATTGAAAATTGGGTGACCACTCCAGCCTACTGAGATGCATATTCCCAATGGTTCAAAGTAGATATGGCTGATAACAAGTTTAAGTGACGTTTGACATACCGATCATATGAAAAGATCATGGTGGATATATGTAATCAAATTTTAGTTTGAAAATTACAACAGGATGATTTTCATTTTGTGAATGAAATGCTTTTCGATTTCTTTTCGTGTTTCATTTGCAGCCTCTTATGCCACAGAGAAGTGTAGCATTATCAATAGCTATCTGTTTGCATCATGCCATCAGTATTTGAGTCCAGACTTATATCAACAGCAATGTAAAACAGACACCTGTAAGTGCGGAGAAACTTGTATGTGTTCTGCTGTGGCCCACTACGCTCGACAATGTAGAAACTATGGCATCTTCATAGACTTTCGATCCAATGTCTCAGAGTGTGGTAAGTAGTACATCATTACCAGAAATGCACACTTTTTTTTAACAAAATAGAAAATTCTCTCCAATTCCAGTGCGAAGGAGCAAGTGTTTAAAGTGTATTTCGTTGTATCACATTTGTAAATGAAATGGTTCCATTGTTTTAATAATTTACTGTTGAAACTGTTAACAGCAAACCTTCCCCACATAATGAACAGTAGTGCAGCCAACCTCCTTCAACAATTTGATAAATGGTGAGTATTGCTCTCACACCACTGACAGGTAAATTGCTACAAGGCTGAGGCACAGTCATCACTCCATTGTCTATTGTGGGTATTACATTCAGTCCACAACTTGAATGGTGGGAAGGTTTAGCCAGAGTAGGAATTGGTTGATCAGGTGTTTAGATGACACACAACATGTACCATCAGATCCAGCTGTGACACTGAATTGTAGATTTACTGTTTTGTGTACTATTACTGACTAGGATAACTGATGACACTCTGCTATTTCTTTTTAATCAATTCTTTCAGAAGCCGTCAACTAGCCTGAATAGCTCAGTTGGTAGAGCATCTGACTTTTAATCTGAAGGTCCAGGGTTCAAGTCCCTGTTCAGGTGTATCCTTTGGAGGGTGGCATGGTGGCTCAGTGGTTAGCACTGCTGCCTCACAGGACCAGGAATCTAGGTTCAATTCCACCTTCAGCCGACAATCTGTGTGGAGTTTGCACAATCTCCCCATGTCTGTGTGGGTTTCCTCCGGATGCTCCAGTTTCCTCCCACAGTCCAAAGATGTGCAGGCTAGGTGAATTTGCTATGCTAAATTGCCCACAGTATTCAGGGATGTGTAGATTAGGTGGGTTATAGGGGGATGGGCCTGGGTGGGATGCTCTGAGGGTTGGTGTGGACTTGTTCGGCCAAAGGGCTTTTTTCCACATTGTGGGGATTCTATGATCTATTCACACAGCACTGCCAGTGAGTCTCAAAGTCAACTCAACCATGAAGTGTTATTTTATCATCATCTGTGCTATCATTGGTGACAGCTTCAGTGATGCTCAACATATTCACTGTTGGCAGCTCAGGTTATTCATGTCATTCAGCAGGGCTAAGAAGTTAACAACTTGTATCTCTGATCATCGACAATGATAGGAAAACAAAGAAAAAATCTACATGTCAGCTGGCTTTGCAAGAGTACAGAATCAGTGCTGTCAAATTTTGATGATGTGCTTATTTCTCTGGCACTAAATGAGCACCTAAGCCTTCAATGTGACAGGGAGGAAACATACCTCATTGTGAGCTAGAGGTGCGATGTCTGCTGTAAAGGGTGCAGAGAGTCCGAACATACATTAGCTGCTTTGTGTATATAAGTAAGAGTTCCATAGCCTGTTTGAGATCCCATCTGTAAAACTTGATTCCCAGTACCAGGTTTTCATATGGCCTAACTAGTGATCCTAAAAGAAGTCTATTATGGTCATCACCAAAATGTATAGTTACCTGAACAGTAATTAAGGCACGTTGGTTTGCTCTCACCCACTGCTTCCATCCTTTCCCATTCCAATCGCAGTCTCTGGCCCTGAATTTTCTGGATTACCCATCTTTAGCAAAGATGATATTCATCCCATTAAGAAACACATCCAGTTCTTGCTTGAGGGAAATCAGCACATTGACATCTATTGCATGAGTCTGAAGTCTGTTTTGTGGAAAACAAAATCTCCTCCTGATATCTGACCTAGATCTAGATTTACACAATGAAAATAGTGACCCCTGGTCCTCCCATCTCCAGGGGTGATAGTCTGAGACTGGAAGACAGACAAGTGCCGAAGGTCCTCGGTAAGGACAATTCCAATAAGCTGAGTAATGGGGGAGAATTTAAAAACATAATTTTTTTCTCATTTGGTGAGGAAATTTTACCATCTGTTTAAGGAAGAGGGAAAAACCTGACTGGTCAAGTCTGGATGCAAGAAGCATTATATCAATACAGATTATGAAGCTTCCTGACAGGAAAAAATATGTATCACAATCTCCAAACTGATTTCAAGGTAGAAATTGACCTCATTTCATCACAAGCTGCGAGGCATAAATTCTAATTTTCCACAAAAATGTAGCCACTTATTAACAGAATACTTCAAAAGAAATATTCACCTGGCTTTTGTTCGGCTGATGGAAGTTTGCTAACAGTTGGAGAACTGCTAGGGAATCCCTATTAGTTCAGTTAAGTGGGGGCCCAGTTGAATCAATTCAGTGTGCATTGTTGGTCCTTTCACCCATTCTAGGTCCCTGGATTAGGTATCGATTGTCTGACTGCAGGGATTTCTCCCACAGAGACTGCTGGCACATCCAACAAGGTTTGCTTGGTGGCTTTTGAAGAGTGCAGGAAAGTTGCTTGGTCCACATCTAATCCTTTTGGTGGGCTCACAATTAATGAGTATAATCTGGATCATTAATGAGGCTAATTGACATCCCATTGGTAGAGGACAGGAATCCCATGTCAGCTCCATGTACCCTCCCACTTCATCAGGTATGGTTTTGACACCAGTGATTTGGGTTATCTCCAAGGATTAAGTGGCCTTGTCTGCTATGTTTCCCACCATGATAACTATGGTAAATTTAGCCTACTGTGACTGATTAAAGAGCTTATAGTTATAGTATAAAATTAATTTTGCCAGTAACACATTACTTTGTCATTAGGAATTATGACTATTTTCAAGGTATAATAAGTACTTATGTAGCATGTGATATATAGTATGAATAAAATTAAGTAACATGAGAAAGATAAGAACATAATTCAACCCATGATATCAAGCTGTCTGTAAAATAATAGTTTAGTTCTGATTACTAACAGCTAGTAATTCTGTTTGTGGGTGTAAAACAAAAAGTAAAAGTGAAGTTTCAGCAGTGCAAGATCACAGTTTGCTTTCGTGGGGTGTATTTGTGAGGGTGTACTTTAGAGGATGCTTGCAAGCTGTTCATCATCCTCTGTAGAAATATCTTGGTGAAGGTTTTCAGTTGTCATTTAGTTCAAGAACAAGTGTGATATGATTTGAAAATCACATTCGCAGAGGTGGAACTGAATCCTGCTGCCTCAGGAATATGACACAGTTTGCAAAGGCAGAGGGGATGCAAGGAACCCACATATCTCTTTATTAATGGTCCTTTAAGCTTCTTGAGGATTTTTTTTAACAGGAGGGGACGGGAGGGAATATAATTGACAAAGCTGAAATCACCAACTTCAATGGTCTGGTGCACATTAGTACACAGTTGTCAGATCCAATGCTGGCAAAAGTTCACGTGTGTTGTTTTGCACTGAAGAATTTCAGGAGCTTGTGGATCTCATGCCAGGTCATGAGTTTTACCTGACATTTAGCTGCTTGGCCACTTTCATGCTTAGTGAAATTGCTGGCCAGCATTCTGCTTGTTTTCTTCTGCAAGGCAGTGTTTGCTGTCTGTCAATGTTTTTAGCTGTGCAAGCAGCTCCCACCTCTTGGTGAAGTTTGGTATGATGAATTTGGAACCTGACTTAGTTAGGACTTTTATGTTTGACAGCATCAGTTGAGCCATACAGTTGTGGCACAGGTTTGGGACATGAAAATGATCCAATCGTCAGGGTCCCAACTCCAGATTAGAAAATGAACCCCTTCTTTCTCCCTGTTATCACTTAATTGTGAAAGACTGAACTTGCAACACTGAATGACATGGGGCAGCTCACAAATGCTCTGATTTATAGCATCATCTGTGCTTCATGAAACAATTAATTTCTAATGCCTGACTAGAAATATCACTGTTAAACTATACTCTCTTAACTATACTTTCTAATCTTGCAGCCATTCAGTGTCCAGACACAATGAAGTATGGCACCTGTGTATCTTTCTGTAACCGGAGATGCCAGTCAATATCTATGCCAGAAGATTGCTCTGACGAATGTGCTGAAGGATGTGACTGCCCTGATGGTACATACTACGACACCAGAACACACAAGTGTGTGAGGAAGTAAGTGCCAACATTGTGAATTAGAAAATGATTGACTGTGAGTGCTGTTTTGGAGAATTAACTGCTTCATTTGGTTATATCATTTGAGCAATTCAACTCAGACTTCTGATGAAATAATAAGAACTGCCGATGCTGGAGTCTGAGATAACACAGTGTGGAGCTGGATGAACACAGCAGGCCAGGCAGCGTCAGAGGAGCAGGAAAGCTGACATTTTGGGTCGGGACCCTTCTTTAGAAATGGGGAGGGGGAAGGGAGCTCAGA